CGTCACAAATAGAACTGCCCGGTAAACCGTAGGCAGAGAGAGAGAAGAGGACAACAAACGAGGGGCTGTGACAAACTGTTTCGTCGGAGTTTCACCGACTCATCAGGAGGTATATATATATATATATATATATATCGTCAGTTCACATGCTCAATCTCTTCTTCTTTGCATTGTCTTGTCGCTTGACATTGGATTGGGCCTCGCAGCATCACTCACCAAACATGAAAAAAGTGAAAACATGGCAGGTGTATGTTTCCTCATTCTAGCCGCGGGGGAAACAACCTCGTGCTGCAAATCCCGTGAGTGGTGCGGCGTGGCTGTGAAAAAGACAAAAATGTGGCGGGTGTATATTTCCACGTTCTAGCGGGAGATAAATTGTTGTTGTTGTTTTTGCAGAGTCCGTGAGTGGTGTGCTGAGGCCCATTGTTGCAATCTCATTCGGAGCCGTCATTTGCTTGGAGCGTCAACATTTCACACATGATGACGTCGTGAGCTTCTGAAGTCAGGGGGTTATAATTGCACATCAAATCGCAGCAATCCATCAAAACTGAATCTATCAAATGAGTCAAAGACTCAAAATCCAATCTATCAAATTCAATCAATCTGAAACGGTATTCACCAGTTCGCAGTAGTCGATGCAGATCCCAGGGCTCGATCCGTAGTCCCCACCTTACCTGTGTACAGTATCTGTGTCGACCCCTAGAGTCGAACCCGTGACCTGTGTATTTGTAACAGTTGGTAGACTGTCGTAGGGTCCATAGGTAGCAGGGGTTCGATCTGTAGACCTGTCGGGTAGGACTCTTAGTCAGGTCTAGAAGTCGTAGCTGCTACAGTCCAGAAAGGTCGAGGTCGTAGCTGTTACAGTATCGAAAGGCCAAGTCTACGGCCTTCCGGAAGGTCCAAGTAGTGGCCTTTCGAAGTTGCCCATGTTTAGACTGAGACAAGTGGGCAAGTGGGCAAGTGGGCAAGTGGGCAAGTGGGCAAGTGGGCAATTGGGCAAGTGGTGAGCCCAACTGCAGTACGGCGACAGTGCAACTGCGTTGAGTTCACAGTGCAAACCCATGCAGTCAACAGTACGGGTCCCAGTCAGTCCTAGTCCAGTCAAGGAAGTACCATATGGGACTGCGTGCACCACGGGCATGGGAAAGGGCCAGACCAACGAACTACAGAAGTATATATCAAAGGGCAGCGTCCAGCCATTCATTCATTCCTGTGTGAGCCATGCGGAAGCGCTGCCACAAGCGACTTGTGCGAGGTGGTCGCAGTGAGCCCGAAGACGAAGTGGGCGAGAGAGAAGAAGCTTAGCCATAGCGATAGGGTAGCAGCGGCCATAGCCGCCATAGCTGTAGATAGTGTTCAGTGTTCAGTGTGTGTGTGTGTGTGTGTGTGTGTGTGTGTGTGTGTGTGTGTGTGTGTGTGTGTGTGTGTGTGTACAGAGTATCGCGTGTGGGATATCCAGGGTGATCCTGTGTGTGCGAACAGAGAGTTGTGTGGGCACTGAGTCGCCATAGCCATCGAAGTGAACTTGTACCTGAGCTGTGTTCTTGACTACCATATCTCTGAGTTTTGAGTGGGCGCTTGTCGCCAGTTTGCTGCGCACCTGTTTGCATGCATGAGAAGTGTGATTGAGAGCGAGTCTGATTGCAAATCCGTCAAAATCCAATCTATCAAATTCAATCAATCCGTCAAAATCCAATCAAAATCCAATCTATCAAATTCAATCAATCCAGACTCGAAATTGAATCGCATCGAAATTGAATCGCATCGAAATTGAATCTATCAAATGATTCAAATCATACATACGGCGCATCAGGTGCGCGCAAGTTGCGCACGTGCGCCGCATAGTGCACGCGCACACATGCGTGTGGACGCGAGGCGGCGCAATTACGAATTAAAAAAAAAAAAGAAAGAAAAATCGAAAGGGCGGGCTGTGGTAACCTAATGTGTCCCTCCCTTTTGAAAATTCTGAAGTGCACAGAAAAAAAAATAAAAAATCGTACTCCTCATTGGATCTAGTCTCTTTTCCAAAAGGTCCCCTGCAAAGAATTAGCAGGGATCCCACACATTTGGAAGTACGTTCATCAAACCGCTGGAGGCTGAAGAATCACGAGCAGGCCAGCAATATATTCTGGATTTGGATTCAGGTCTGTGTTCCAAGAGTTATGGGTTTACAACTTCACAACTTTACAAACAAACTTTACAAACAAACTTTACAAGAATCACGTGCTGTCTCTTTTTTTTTTCTTTTTTTTTTTCCCCTTTTCTTACCGAATCTTACGTGCAGTGGCCCTAAGGACTTCCCTCGACTCATCAGCACTTGCACAAAAGAAAAAGCATATGGCTTGTATGGTTCCAGTTTCTAGGAGAAGATTCATTCTACACCAATCTACAGTAGTTTTGCACATTTGGTGAGTAGTGGACTGGAGCCCTGAAAATCACAGGCCGAGTTAGTCAGTCAGTAACCCATAACTGCTGAATCACGGGCCTCAATTTGAAGCTACATCATATAGAACAGCTGGCCTGCTCCCTCTGTACTACATGCCCAGCGACTATCCTTCTCCTGCTGATGGGATCCTTGCTAAGTTGGCAGGGAACTTTTGAAGAGCGGGCAGGGG